AGGCTAGACTATAAACTAGACTATAGGCTAGACTATAGGTTAGACTATAAACTAGACTATAGGCTAGACTATAGACTAGACTATAGGCTAGACTATTCATAATTTTTTAAACGATTGCTGGTCTATGGTGTCAACTTGACCACTCACCATGTTACTCTTCCTAGTCGTTATCATCATATCGTACATTTAAAATTGCGACAACACTATAATTTGTTGTTTTCAGTTCGGGTTTCTTTTTTCATTCTGTGTGGACATGCAAGCAGTAAAAGGTCCTTTGCCTCATTGTTATGGCTTTGGGTTGTTTCTTTTATTTTCATTTTTTTTTTTTTTTCTTTCTTTTTTTTTGCAAAACAGTTCGTGTTGGTCTTGTGGCAAATTACTGTGGAGAACACAAAATGTTTATACATTTACAAGTCTTCCTTTCCCTATGCTTCTTGCAAAACTACAAATTGATAGACAACATTTGCTTTTGCTCAGAAAACGTGTATCATTCCACTAGATGAATTATGTTGCTACTACCACTTCCACTACTAGGACTTGCAACACTTAAATACTCATACTAAAGACCTTAGGTTAGAGAAAAAAAGAAAAATATTCACTTAGTTTTTCTACTCACTTGGTAGTATAGTTTCTAACGAAGAAGTTCAACTATGTGCTGGAAATAGTAGAACTCTTGCTATGACTTACTTAAACTATTTATCAGGGTTTTACTGGTAATAGTAGTTGTGGCAAAAGAGTAGTCGTTTTTTTCCAGAGGGGCAAGTGCATACATACATGCATACATAGTTGTTGTAAATAATAGTTTCTTTGACCTCAACTCAATACGTTTCCACGTTGATAGTGCTGAGGTTATAAAACAAACCTTATATAAATAAAAATGTTTTTGTGTAATTTTATATAAATGTTTTGAAAAGTGAAGGATTTCTTTTAGAAGTTTGTTGCAAAGTATAAAAAGAAATAATAGCCTATTTTTAGGGGGTAAGGAAATTTTATTTGAAATTAAAATTTAATAAGTAAGTTAAAAGTTTCAAGCAAATTGTACAAAATTGTATCAGCCTAGGCTACATACTAGACTAAAGCACAGACTTTAGGTCAGGCTATATACTAGAATATTGTCAAAATAAAAGAGTATATTATAGTCCATACTTTAGACCAGATTAGAGTCCAGAATAAACTATATACTACACTATAAAATAGACTCTATTCTAGACTATAGAGTACACTATATACAAGACCATAGACTTGACTATAGACTAGGATATCGACCAGACTATTGACTAGAATGCAGACTATAGACTAGACTATAGACTAGACTATAGACTAGACTATAGACTAGGCTATAGACTAGACTATAGACTAGACTATTGACTAGACTATAGACTAGACTATAGACTAGACTATAGACTAGACTATAGACTAGACTATAGACTAGACTATAGACTAGACTATAGACTAGACTATAGACTAGACTATAGACTAGACTATAGATTAGACTATAGACTAGACTATAGACTAGACTATAGACTAGACTATAGACTAGACTATAGACTAGACTATAGACTAGACTATAGACTAGACTATAGACTAGACTATAGACTAGACTATAGACTAGACTATAGACTAGACTATAGACTAGACTATAGACTAGACTATAGACTAGACTATAGACTAGACTATAGACTAGACTATAGACTAGACTATAGACTAGACTATAGACTAGACTATAGACTAGACTATAGACTAGACTATAGACTAGACTATAGATTAGACTATAGACTAGACTATAGACTAGACTATAGACTAGACTATAGACTACACTATAGACTAGACTAAACTATAGACTAGACTACACTATAGACTGGACTACACTATAGACTAGACTATAGACTAGACTAGGTTTGACTACACCAGACTAGATTTGACTATACTAGACTAGACTATGGACTAGACTAAGTTTGACTAGACTAGACTAGATTTGACTAGACTAGACTAGATTTGACTAGACTAGACTAGGCTAGGCTAGACTATAGACTAGACTATAGACTAGACTATAGACTAGACTATAGACTAGACTATAGACTAGACTATAGACTAGACTATAGACTAGACTATAGACTAGACTATAGACTACACTATAGACTAGACTAAACTATAGACTAGACTACACTATAGACTGGACTACACTATAGACTAGACTATAGACTAGACTAGGTTTGACTACACCAGACTAGATTTGACTATACTAGACTAGACTATGGACTAGACTAAGTTTGACTAGACTAGACTAGATTTGACTAGACTAGACTAGATTTGACTAGACTAGACTAGGCTAGGCTAGACTATAGACTAGACTATAGACTAGACTATAGACTAGACTATAGACTAGACTATAGACTAGACTATAGACTAGACTATAGACTAGACTATAGACTAGACTATAGACTAGACTATAGACTAGACTATAGACTAGACTATAGACTAGACTATAGACTAGACTATAGACTAGACTATAGACTAGACTAGACCAACGGTTCCCAAAAGGGGGTCCGCGGACCCCTAGTGGTCCGTAGCAAAATCCTAGGGGGTCCGCGAAGACGAACGAGAAAAATCATGAATAAAAAATATTCTCTATATGTTAGAAAATATTAAAAATATCTCCAAATTTTTCATAAATACTAAAATACACAATTTTTATTCAATAATCCCAGATTTGTTGGTGACTTTTTGAATTTTATTGTTTCGGTCGTTTATCAGGATGAAGCTAGGCCCTACAAATTTATTGTTTCACTTTTATAAAGTAAAGTATTACGTGATTTGTAATTTTTATAAATGTATATGTATCGAAATAAATGTTTTTATATTAGACGGATAATGATTTGCCTTAGAATTAAATACTGATACTGGTATCCCGGAATATGAAGTTAGGTCACATTTCATAATATTTTTATAAATTGTAAGCAAAAGTGTTAATCTAGTTAATTTTAAATATAAATATTCCAATTCCGACGTGATACACAGATTTTAACTTCATTTTGTTGTCCAATATTATTAAATCAACATCAGAAAATTCATAGCGTTTTGCGTAAATAGTCAAAACCACGCAGTAAAATAATTAGTAGGTATTTTAAAATTCAAATTTAAGATCTAAATTCACAGTACATTCGCAAAGAGTTCAGGTCATATTTTATGTGGGTAACGCATTACGCAACAACATCGAAGAAGTCTAACTTTCACATATTTTCCCGAAAACTTAGCTTACATACTCAGCTCACTCCTATGCAATCGCAAAAAAATTTAGAAACATGACTCTTTAAGCACATGTCGACAATACTTGATAAAGAAACCTTTTCGCTACCTTGGCGAGAAATGAACATGAAAGCTCTCACGATCATAAAATTAAACATCATGTTAGAAGTCATTCTATATTTAAAACCATGTAATTGAAAACATCTCCGAAATACTAAATATTCTCAATGTACGGGAATATTTTATAGGGTTTATGGACCAGGACTAAGACAATTTTCGTATGAACAATTATTTATAACAATAAGATATCAAAATATGTATGGGGGTCCGTGAAATTAAATAAATTCCTCAAGGGGTCCGCGAAGTAAAAAACGGTGGGAACCGCTGGACTAGACTATAGACTAGACTATAGACTAGACTATAGACTAGACTATAGACTAGACTATAGACTAGACTATAGACTAGACTATAGACTAGACTATAGACTAGACTATAGACTAGACTATAGACTAGACTATAGACTAGACTATAGACTGGACTATAGACTAGACTATAGACTAGACTATAGACTAAACTATAGACTAGACTATAGACTAGACTATAGACTAGACTATAGACTAGACTATAGACTAGACTATAGACTAGACTATAGACTAGACTATAGACTAGACTATAGACTAGACTATAGACTAGACTATAGACTATAGGCTAGACTATAGACTAGACTAGATTTGACTAGACTATAGACTAGACTATAGACTAGACTAGATTTGACTAGACTATAGACTAGACTATAGACTAGACTATAGACTAGACTATAGACTAGACTATAGACTAGACTATAGACTAGACTATAGACTAGACTATAGACTAGACTATAGACTAGACTATAGACTAGACTATAGACTAGACTAGACTATAGACTAGACTAGACTATAGACTAGACTATAGGCTAGACTATAGACTAGACTAAAGACTAGACTATAGACTAGACTATAGACTAGACTATAGACTAGACTATAGACTAGACTATAGACTAGATTATAGACTAGACTATAGACTAGAATTTCCTATCCTGTAGAAAAGACGATAGACTAGACTATAGGCTACACTATAGACTAGACTATATACTAGACCAGACTATATGGTACACTGGACAATAGACTAGACTTTTTTCTGAGACTTTTAATTAAAAATTATGCCCATCTACAACTTTGTTTTACAGATTATATGTCTTCTTAATTCATTTCAATCTAAAACCTTTTAATACCTTTATAGTATACATTACATTCCTAAAAATGAGTAAAAAACGAGGTATACTCTTAGGATGATTAATAATATGCATGTATGTTAACTGTACTTAAAAATGTTACAGTTTAAATAAAATATATTAATCTTAATCCATCTTGAATCTATTGTTCTGCTCAAACATGTTAACCTTTAAGAAAATTAAAAAAATATATTTTAAAATCATGGCCTACATACAATTCAAAAGGTTAAAATTTTTAAGCAAACGAAAAAAACACTCATTTCAAATGATTAACATATAATGTAATCTTTTAAAGAGAAAAAGAAAACTCTTTATTTTTATTGAAAACATTAATTTTTCAAAAATTATCATAAATCATAACATACTTTTAGGGGATTAGAAGCTTACATAAGTAAGGAAAATAAATAAACCATACCTTTAGTCTTAGCAAACATTATTAAAGATAAAAACCTAATATATTTCTTATACTTTTGTTTCTTTTTAGGTATTTTTTTCATCATATTATTTTAACAAAATTTTGAGCTTAAAACAACAACAACGACTTTAGGGTTTGTGTAACTCTATATAAATTGAAATTGCTTTATTTATATTATACATATTTAATTTAATAAACTTACGAATGTTAAGTAATCAAAAATTGGTGATATGTGAAGCAACAAATAAAACGTAAGTTACAGCCCCAAGAAAGAAAAACAGAACTCCCCCTCAAAAAAAAACCCACAAATGTTTAAACAAATTCGACTACACGCGAAATCAAAATTTTTAACTAAAGCCAGAGAAAGAAAATTTTTACACACACAACCGCAGCAGTTAAAATAATAACAAAATCAAATCAAATAAAAGTCAATATATTTTGCATAGGTAAGTAGACATGAGTGGAAAGAAAGAACGAAAAAAAAAAAATACCTAAAAATATGCCACAGTTTTATTTTCTAAGTACTTATTTCAAGATTTATAAACTTAAATCTGTATACAAGAGTAAAATATTTAAAACTAAAAAAAAGATTTTCTTATTTTTTATTTTATTTTTTTAGTAAATCGAACTCAAACAAAAACCTCTACCCAACAGCTCTCAAATGATAAAAAATGTTTATTTTAAAATCGTATGACGTTATAGTATTTCATTGTAGCAATTTTTTTAAGTAGACTTCTTTTTTATTTTTGCTACAACTACAAGTTTAGTTTTTTTTAATATAAAAAAATAACGAACTGCAAGCAACCTTGAATCAGTTTATTTTTCTTTTGAGTGCCCTACACAATTTTGTTTGGGAAAACTAAATTATTAATAAAGTTTATAAAAAATTTTGGTAGATTTTCTAAATAATGTAAAACATTTCAAAATGCACAGGCTTTTGCATTATATAGACCAGCAAACTTGACCACATACTAGGCTCGAAACCAGACAATCCATAAAAGTTTAGTTTTTACTATAGATCAAGCAACAGATAAAACTATGAATTATAATATAGATACAATTATAGATCTGTCTATAGCTGAGACAACTATAGATCAAACTATAGTTCAGACTAAAGGTCAGACTATAGATCAGGCTAAAGATGAGACTATGAAACAGACTATGTAAGAGATTACAGGAGAAACTATATATCAGAATATAGACCAGAATATATAACAAACTACAGATAAGAATACATATGTGACTATAGAGCAGACTATACATCGGATATATAGGCTAAATATCATACGATAGAACATACTGTAGACTAGACTATCGATCAGTCTTTAGATCAAACTATAGATCACACTAAAGAATATACTATGGAGCAGATTATAAAGTATATTATAGATTACACTACAGGCTGGACAACAGACTATAGACTATACTGTAGACTATACTGTAAGCTATACTATAGACTAGGCTGTAGACTAGACTATAGGCTAGACTATATACTGGACTATTGACTGGACTATAGACTATACTATAGACTAGACTATAGACTTGACTATAGACTATAGACTTGACTATAGACTATAGACATAGACTAGACTATAGACTAGACTATAGACTAGACTATAGACTAGACTATAGACTAGACTATAGACTAGACTATAGACTAGACTATAGACTAGACTATAGACTAGACTATAGACTAGACTATAGACTAGACTATAGACTAGACTATAGACTAGACTATAGACTAGACTATAGACTAGACTATAGACTAGACTATAGACTAGACTATAGACTAGACTATAGACTAGACTATAGACTAGACTATAGACTAGACTATAGACTAGACTATAGACTAGACTATAGACTAGACTATAGACTAGACTATAGACTAGACTATAGACTAGACTATAGACTAGACTATAGACTAGACTATAGACTAGACTATAGACTAGACTATAGACTAGACTATAGACTATAGACTAGACTATAGACTAGACTATAGACTAGACTATAGACTAGACTATAGACTAGACTATAGACTAGACTATAGACTAGACTATAGACTAGACTATAGACTAGACTATAGACTAGACTATAGACTAGACTATAGACTAGACTATAGACTAGACTATAGACTAGACTATAGACAGACTATAGGACTAGACTATAGACTAGACTATAGACTAGACTATAGACTAGACTATAGACTAGACTATAGACTAGACTTAGACTAGACATAGACTAGCTATAGACTAGACCATAGACTAGACTATAGACTAGACTATAGACCTAGACTATAGACTAGACTATAGACTAGACTATAGACTAGACTATAGACTAGACCATAGACTAGACTATAGAATATATACTAGACTATAGACTATACTATAGACTATAGACTAGACTATAGAATATACAATAGACTAGACTATAGACTAGACTATAGACTAGTCTATAGACTAGACTATAGACTATACTATAGACTAGACTATAGACTATACTATAGACTAGACTATAGACTAGACTATAGACTAGACTATAGACTGGATTATAGACTAGACTATAGACTAGACTATAGACTAGACTATAGACTAGACTATAGACTAGACTATAGACTAGACTATAGACTAGACTATAGACTAGACTATAGACTAGACTATAGACTAGACCATAGACTAGACTATAGACTAGACTATAGACTAGACTATAGACTAGACTATAGACTAGACTATAGACTAGACTATAGACTAGACTATAGACTAGACTATAGACTAGACTATAGACTAGACTATAGACTAGACTATAGACTAGACTATAGACTAGACTATAGACTAGACTATAGACTAGACTATAGACTAGACTATAGACTAGACTATAGACTAGACTATAGACTAGACTATAGACTAGACTATAGACTAGACTATAGACTGGACTATAGACTAGACTATAGACTAGACTATAGACTAGACTAGACTAAACTATAGGCTAGACTAGATTATAGACTAGACTATAGACTAGACTATAGACTAGACTATAGACTAGACTATAGACTAGACTATAGACTAGACTATAGACTAGACTATAGACTAGACACTAGACTATAGATTATACTATAGACTAGACTATAGACTAGACTGTAGACTAGACCATAGACTAGACTATAGACTAGATAGAACACACTATCGATCAGTCTTTAGATCAAACTATAGATCACACTAAAGAATATACTATAGAGCAGATTATAAAGTATATTATAGATTACACTACAGGCTGAACAACAGACTATAGGCTAGACTATAGACTATACTGTAAGCTATACTATAGACTAGAATATAGACTAGACTATAGACTAGACTATAGACTAGACTTTAGACTAGACTATAGACTAGACTATAGACTAGAATATAGACTAGACTATAGACCAGACTATAGACTAGACTATAGACTAGACTATAGACTAGACTATAGACTAGACTATAGACTAGACTATAGACTAGACTATAGACAAGACTATAGACTAGACTATAGACTAGACTATAGACTAGACTATAGACTAGACTATAGACTAGACTATAGACTAAACGTAGAGTAGATTTAGATGCTAAGTTAATCAATTTTTCTTATAGCCTTCTTTTTCTACCTATTTCTTCCTTCAAAAACTAAATTTCTAAACTAAAGCATACTTATAGGAGACATGACGTAAGCTTTTATTTATTTAGTGGTTTGTAATTTGAAATTGACAGCAGGTGTTGGTTAGAAAACAGCAAACACCAACCGAAGTAAAAAATTATATACTTCAAGAAAAAGAGAAAGCAAAAAATAAAATTTGCAAAAAAAAATATAAAAATCTTTTAGTGAAATTGAATAGAAGAAAAATCATGTAAGAAAGAAAAGATAAATTACCTATCCTATTTTTAGTGCAATTTCTTTTAAATCTATATAGTGTCTGGCCAACTAAAAAGTAATGCATTACAAGTTAATAAATCACTAAAGGAGTATAGTGAAAGTAATGTTTTGTAACACTTTATTAGAAAATTAAAAAACGAAAAAAACTATTGAGAAAAAAATTATTTAAAATAAAAATAGCTTTCTAAACTAATTATAAAATAACATTAAAAACACTTTTCTTTTTTACTGATGACAAGAGTTTTCTAATTTCTTCTTTTTTTTCAACTAACTTTAATAGAAAAAATTGCAAAAAAAAAAACGAAAAAACAAATTATTGATCAAACTTTTTATGGGTTAGAGCGAAAGTTACTCTTGCCTAAAAGTATGCATTGTTAAGGCTTTTTTTTTTTTTTTTCTTTCCAGCAACACAACTGAAACTATGTTAGTGTAGTTGGTTGGCAAAAAGAAAAAGTTACGAGAAAATATAAAAAATATATTGTATAAAATAAAGTAACAATAAATAAGTTTTTTAATAGTTTTTTATAGGTTATGGATTTTTATGACATGTTTCAATCACAAAAGTTTATGACACATTTAGCAAATGTGGCTTTTGTGTTACAGAAAAGTGGTTAGAACAGAGAAGGCAGACAGACAGGCGGATGTCGTGTAGATTAGAAGGTAACATGCAAAGTTTGTGAGGCATTTAAAAGGTATTAAATTTTTCTATAAGAGATTTAAGATAATAATAATGACCAGGCAACAAACAAGGCTATAGAAGACTCTAAATCAAACTATAGAGTAGATCAAACTGTTTAGTTCAGTTTTAGTTCAGTTCTAGTTCAGTTTTAGTTCAGTTCTAGTTCAGTTCTAGTTCAGTTCTAGTTCAGTTCTAGTTCAGTTCTAGTTCAGTTCTAGTTCAGTTCTAGTTCAGTTCTAGTTCAGTTCTAGTTCAGTTCTAGTTAAGTTCTAGTTAAGTTCTAGTTCAGTTCTACTTCAGTTCTACTTCAGTTCTAGTTCAGTTCTAGTTCAGTTCTAGTTAAGTTCTAGTTCAGTTCTAGTTAAGTTCTAGTTAAGTTCTAGTTAAGTTCTAGTTAAGTTCTAGTTCAGTTCTAGTTCAGTTCTAGTTCAGTTCTAGTTCAGTTCTAGTTCAGTTCTAGTTCAGTTCTAGTTCAGTTCTAGTTCAGTTCTAGTTCAGTTCTAGTTCAGTTCTAGTTCAGTTCTAGTTCGGTTCTAGTTCAGTTCTAGTTCAGTTCTAGTTCAGTTCTAGTTCAGTTCTAGTTCAGTTCTAGTTCAGTTCTAGTTCAGTTCTAGTTCAGTTCTAGTTCAGTTCTAGTTCAGTTCTAGTACAGTTCTAGTACAGTTCTAGTTCAGTTCTAGTTCAGTTGTAGTTCAGTTCTAGTTCAGTTCTAGTTCAGTTCTAGTTCAGTTCTAGTTCAGTTCTAGTTCATTTCTAGTTCAGTTCTAGTTCAGTTCTAGTACAGTTCTAGTTCAGTTCTAGTTCAGTTCTAGTTCAGTTCTAGTTCAGTTCTAGTTCAGTTCTAGTTCAGTTCTAGTTCAGTTC